AGAGGCCTCAGGAGAAACCGAGCCCGCCAACACCTTGGCCTTGGAGTTCCAGCCGCCGGAACCGTGAGGAATAAATGGCGGCGGTTTGCGCCACCCGGGCTGCGGGGTCCTGTCAGGCAGCCCTCGCAGCCTAGCGAGCCCTGCTGATGGTTTCCGTGGGTCAGGGATTCAGGCGCTGGGTGGCGCGGGTGCAGGATCTCTGGCCAGGCCTCCCAGGTGTCGGCCGCCCTGCCGCGTCCGGGTCACTGCCTCCAAACGTGTGAAACCCAACCAAATGCATTCCTTTTGCTTCGGCGACACCGAGCTTGCCTGGTTTTCCGCCAGCTTTCCCGGCAATTCAGGATCCCTTTTCCTCGCCCCTTGCCCGTCCACGCTTTTCTGGCTTTCTTCTCCCCAGCACACCTTTCTCTGTATGATTTCATTCCCTGCGAAGCCAGACACACCCCTTCTCTGACGATTTTCGAACGTTAATAATGAGCTCCGGACGCACATACCCAATTGCTCTTTACACCTCTCCCCGTGAATGTCCTACAGACAACGTATTGTGCCACTGCCGCCGCCACACACCCACGTACACACACCTCATACTCACTCTAACACACACGCGCACATGCGTACGCACGCACATGTATGCCCACACCCACACATACACATGTGCACGCCCACATGAATGCATACACACGTGTGCACACACCCCACGCACCTGCGCACGGCTTGCTCCTCTTCCCCCATCCCTGTCCCAGAAAATGCAACCGCCTCTACCCAGTTTCCGAAGGCAAGACACTGGGAGCCTTTGATTCTGCTCTTTCTCCCCTGCAGCCAATCAATCATTACATTCCAAATTCCATTCAATGTGACCTCTTAAATAGCTCTTGGCTTTTTAAAAAAATCCTCACTGAAGGACATTTTTTCCCCTTGTTTTTTTGAGAGGTAGGAAGGGAGAGAGAAAAACATCAATTCAAGAGAGAAGCCTTGATTGGTTACCTCTCATACGGCGCCCCGACCGGGGATCGAACCTGCAACCTTTTGCTTACAGGGCGACGTTCCAACCAAGTGAGCCACACCGGCCAGAGCCATAGCTGTTTACTTTTTAACACCTGTCCACTTCTTTCCATGTCCTGCTGCCAGCAGGCCCGCATCATTTCATGCTGCATCTCATTCGAGCTCCCCCGCTGCCCAAATCCAGTCGAATTTCCCCACCCGGCCAGAGGAGAACCCTAGAATGCAGCTCCGATGATTGCGCTCTGCTGCTGAAAAGAACTTCCACAGCCTCCCGCTGCGGTGGCCCCTCCACTCACGGCGTTTCCTCCCCTAATAACTGCGCGGGGTCTATCACACTCCCCGGAACGACCTTTCCTGTCTGTACCATCCACATGGACAAAAGCTCCTCCTTCGGTTCACTTAGTTACTAGCGATTTTAACCCCACCGTGTACGATGTGCTGTTAATCAAGCGAACTGGACAGACACTGTCCCTGCCTCCTGGGAGCGGCTCACGTTTGTCCCCCGTTACCCTCTCGCAGCCTGGCGTCTGGGGCTCGGCAGTTGCTTCGCAAGTATCTGCTGAGCAAATCGATGATAAGACGGGAACGGTCTACTGAAGACCCAGCACGCGCGCCCCTCTCTCAGTTGCAGAATAAAGTTCATGGGAACAAGTTTTAGGAAAGTGATCTTCGTGCTCCGTGTGTACAGAAAGGGTCTTTTTATTCCAGAGGACAGAGACAAATTCTATCTACATATTTTCAGGCTGACAGACGTCTTAAAGCAGCTGACAGCCCTCGGGGAAGGCTGGGCCGGTTGGGCCAAATCAGTGAAACCTGCCAAGCTCTCCAGGACCTTAGTACGTAAACCGAAGACATGCAATGCATCCAATGATAAAGAAACACACACTATACAATCTTGAAACTATGGCGCGGGGCAGGGTGGGGGAGCCCTGGAGGCCTTGGGTGACAAACCGGGACTAAGGCCTTATTCAATGTCAGGCAGCCGGGCCTTCCCATTTTGAAACATGTCATCCCAGAACATGAGGGGGGAGCCCCGTGATCACCCGGACTTTCTGAAGCGCAAACTACATAAGCATTGCAGCCTCGACTGGACCATTTTTAAAACATGATGGTAACATATACATAACATAGAAGTTAGCATTGCACCATTTCTATGGGGACAATTCAGGGGTACTGTCGTGTGACCATCACCACCGCCATCATCCCCAGCGTTTCTGTCATCTTGCGAAACAGAAACGGTCTCCCTGTCGCACGGCAACCCCCATGCCTTCCCACCCCGCCCCCGGCACCCACCGACTGTCTCTGTGAGTCTGGCGACTCCAGGGCCCTCGTACGGGTGGGATCACACGGTGTCTGTCCTCCCGGCGTCACGTGCTCAAGGTTCACCCACGCTGTGACCTGTGTCAGAACCGCCTTCCTCTCTGAGGCTGGGTGACGTCCCTTGTACGGAATGACCACACCCTGTGTATCTCCTGGTGACTTCTGAACCAACATGCGCTGTCTGTGCCCCTGAGCAGGGGTACGGCCGTGGGCGCTGCCTCTCTGGCCCCAGAACCACCTTTGGAAGCCTGGGAAGACCCACGCGTGTTCGCCTCCGTGGTGTAAAGAATAAACAGGGAAGGACAGCACCTCCTAGTCACGATCAGGGCGGAACGCTGCCCACAGGTGCTCTTCTGTGTCAGCTCAGAAAGGTTACGGGCTTGTCCCAAGTACAAAACTCCTGCCCTCGTGGAAAAGCCCTGTGCCTGTGTCTGCCCCCATCGCGTCCGATCACCTGAGGCCAAAATAACTGCTTCCTCTTCAAGTCAGCATCTCTCCTTAACGCGGGGCTGTTCCATCGCTGGTCCCTGCTCAACGAGCCACTGTTTTGAAAGGTTTATCTCCCACATCATTTAGTCCTCTCCCCGGGTCGTTTCGCTCCTCCCTCCCTTCCCGGGTCCTCCCCCGCTCCCTGCTCCGCAGGCCCTGCCTGTCCCAGAGCACCTGGCCGCCCGGCCCCTGGGCAGGCCCGGCACCGGCTGGAGGGCCGGGCGAGGCGGAGATGCCCGGCTCGCTATTCCCTTACCTCAAAGGGCATCTCTGGCCAGTGGCCGCTTCTCCTCAGTGGCTCCCGCCCCTGCCTGGCAGGCACATGTGTCCCGCCTCCCATCTGATGGGCTCCGGTCACACCGCCTCCTCTCGTTGCCCCCTACGCCCAAGGGAGCCGTGGCTTCCTGCTTCTGATCGCCGATGGGCTGCCTCCTCCTTCCTTCCTGGGATTCTTTCGTGTCCCATTTCCTGTCACCAAGTCTCCTGGTTGAATGCACAGGAGAACAGAAACCTCTCCAGACCGGCCCTCCCTGACCCCCGAGAACGTGGACGACCTCTCCGCACAGCTGCAGGGTCCCGCGCCCTGGGTGCCCGCTCGGGACGTCCCACGCCTCCTGGGGGCTTGCTGCCTGCAGCCTACCGGCACGCCGCTTCCAGGTCCCCACCCGCTCCGCCAGGCCCTGCTCGTGGCTGCCGCGCCACGGCCTCTTCCTTCTCCGAGCCGCGCGGCCCCCTCATTCCCACCCCAAGTATCGGCTACTTTTTTTTCTAGAAGGCTCTCCACTGTCCCCCTATTTAAACTCTACCAATGACTCGGGCTCAGCTCAGCGGGTGCCACTGCAAGGGAGCCCTCGCTGCCCTTAGCGGACGGCACAGGGTCCCCTCCTCCCCTCCTGCAGTCACCCAACCCGCTGGCCGTGTTTGCTTCACTTTCATCTACGTGTCATTCCGTCCCCAGCAAGGGGTTCAGTCCCACCGAGCAGAAACAAGAGCTTGCACTCCGTCCCTCAGCACTTCAAACAAACAGCACCTGGCTACGCCTACAGCTAGTAAACTCGCCACCGGGTGACAAAGGGCTCTGCCATGTGCTCTTCGAGACCAGCGCACCTCCTTAACTCCTGTCCTGGCTGGACTGCGTCCCCCACAAAAAGCGACATGGCAGCCCCAACCTCTGATACCCGTGACCTTATTCGGAAATAAAGTCTCTGCAGATGCCATCAAGTTAAGATGAGGTCGTTCCGGATTAGATGGGGCCCTGATTCAATTTTGAGACGTGTGTCCTCCTAAGAAGAGGACAATCCGGACCCAGACACACAAAGAGGGAGGACGGCCATGAACAGAGGGAGGCAGAGGCTGGGGGGACACTGCCCCCCCAAACCAGCGAGAGCCTGGGGCCACGTGAAGCCGGAAGAGACAAGGAAGGACCGTTCCCTGACAGACTCGGGACGGAGCTCGACCCTGCCAACAGCTTGGTTTCAGATTCCGGCCTCCGAAGCTGTGCCACAGCAGCTTCCTGTGGCTGTAAGGTCCCCAGTTTGCGCCACTTCGTTCCGCCAGCCCCAGGAAATGAGAACAACGGAATATAAAACAGTTATACCCGTACAGACCAAGCTGGGTGACAGGGTTCTCGTGTCCTGGCTGGGCACAGAGCTCATCCTGAGCGTCGGTGGCGCCAAGCAGGGATCAGGCGCAGGGCTGCGTGGGGCGCGGGAGCGGGCCTCCCCCGCGGATCCCCACGGGCTCCCTCCCAGAAGCAGCGAAGGCAGCTGCCTCGCCCCCACTCCCTCCGCGGGGCTCGCCGCCGCGAGAACGCCTCCCAGCCATCTCCAACGACGTCAGACTTTAAATCTGAACACTCGCGAATCAAATCCCTATTTTTAACAAGCTCCTTTTTTTTTTTTTTTTTTTTTTTTTGCTTTGCCTGTGACTCGCGACTTTAGTCTCCCACTCGAGACGCAGTCAAATGGAAACGTTCCACAGCCGACTTTCAAAAAGAAGCCGAGGGAACAACAACCCACTTCTGGTCACGATCCCGGTGCTGCCACTTTTCACGGGAAGCCCAGCTGCCTCCGGGGCCCTCCTCGTGCTTTCTCTCGGCCGGTGGCTTCTGCCAAGCCCTCCCCCCACGTCAGGAGAGCACTGCCTTAGCCTCCGCTGGCCGCGGCCCACGGGACAAGGCCCGGACTTACGGTTCTGCAGGGGGCCTGGTGCGTGGGAGACACCGCCGGCAGCCTGGCCGAGCTCTGGAAGGCGGACGGGCAGAACCTCTGGCCCGTGTCCGGAGGGGAAGACGAGGCATAGATGCGGTTTTCCAGTCGCTCAGGCTCCTGCTTATAGGACTCGAGTGGGAACGAGTGCTGCTTGGTCACTTGGGTGGGCGTCGACGGCGAGGAGGAGAGGCCCGAGGCTGAGGAGGAAACCACACGGTGCTGTTAGGAGCGGCCGGGGGGCGGGGGGCGGCCGGGCAAGGTCCCCCCTGGCTTCCACGTGCCTAAACCTCAGCTGGCAAGGAGGAAATGAGTGCATTCCGGGTATCGGGACAAGCGTTTATGAACTGATTTCTAACCCCTCGGAACGAGCCAGGCCCAGCCACCCCCTCGCCATCCAACTTGAGCCGTGGGCGGGGCCCCCTTCCGAGAGCGGGGCGCTCAGACAGTTCAGGCGGCGTCGGGGTGAAAGGTTTCCCACACGCGTGCACCTCAGACGCTGTTTTCCTTCTGTTTGGTCAAGCGCCGTTTGACGCCCCGGCCTCCCCTACAAAGCGCCGGGCAGGGAGCACCTGCGGTGGGTGCCCCTGAGATAAGACACGGGAAAGTCCACGAAGTAGTCAACAGGGACAAAGGTCAGCGCCGCAGACATCACGTGACAACCTACACTGAGGCCCAGGCAAAACAAGCTGTTCCTGTCACGGCGCGCAATGCGAATGTGGCCGCTGGGAGCTGGCGGGAGGGTGCGCTAGGAAGGGGGGACTGCAGGGGAGGGCGCGGGACCGGGAAGGGGCCCTCAAAGTGACGATTTAGATGGGCAGGAACCAGGAAGAGGCAGACGGGGAGTCTGGGGACGTGAACCTGCCCTTTGGGGGTGAGCTGTGTCCCCTTAAGAGACACGCTGAAGTCTGAACCCCCAGCACCTGCGAACGTGACCTTATCTGGAAATAGCATCTTGGTAGTTAAGATGACATCATACTGGAGGGGGGTGTCCTTTGCCCAGTGTGACTGGTGTCCTTTTAAGAGAAGACACAGAGGAGGAGGCCGCGTGCGACAGAGGCGGAGGCTGGAGTGATGTATCTACAAGCCACCAGAGGCTGGGAGAGGCCAGGAGGGATTCGATTCGACCCACAGTCTCAGAGGGAGGGGCCCTGCTGGCCTCTGGGCTTCCGAGTCCAGCCTCCAGACCCGTGAGAGGTGAAAGTCCTGCTGTTTCGAGCCACCGGTGTGTGGCGCTCGGTCACAGCAGCGTCAGGACATCAATACATGGCAACGTTGCCCAATGCGGATTTGTTTTCCCAGGGAAGCAGAACTGGGATTTGGGCTGGGTCTCTCCCGTCTCTTCGGGAACTAAATGAAATTTTCATTTTCAATGTGTTACTTAAAACGTTTAAATCAGGCGAGTCCAAGCAACGCCGCCAGTGGCCACGACCAAGGCCACCCACTGGCTGCCTCTGACCTAGACAAGGACAGGTCAGCCCACAGAGAAACAGCCTGGGCCCCCTGCGCTGTGCCCGGAGTGGCACGTGCCACCCTGGGCGGCGGGGGGCTGGGTAAGTGCCCCCCAGCCGCCAAGGGGCAAGGAAGCAGCAGGGAAGGGGGAAGGCTCAAGGCTCGGGTGTGTGTTTCCAGGGTGGAAGTAACCAATCAAAGGGGCAGCATCGCTTTCCAGGGAACCCCCGGAGGCCACGCAGTCCCACGAAGAGGGACTCCCCGTGCCCAGCCGCAGGCTGCCCTCTGGGGCAGCTCCGGGCGCAGGCAGGACATAGAACGCTCTGCGCCGCGCCGTCGTGGGTCTCAGAGCTTCGGCGAGGAGAGGCTCCTCCAGCAAGGCCGCCCTGCAGAGGGAAGCCCGCCCCCAAAGGCCTCGAGGAGCAAGGAACGCCTTGAGGCATGGCTGGGCGGGGAAGGGGAGCCAGGACCGAGCGCAGGAAGAAAGCGGGTGGCGTAGCGGCTCTGGCAGGCAGGCTGACAAAGGAGGCCCTGGCCCAGGTCCCGGGCTGTCTCCGGGCCAGGCTCCCGCGTCCCTGTGGCACCAGCGCCCCCAGAGACGCCCCCAGGAGGGCGCGGAAGGAGGATGCCAGCCAAGGCTCAGAGGGGGTGGCCTGGCTGCCCGAGCAGGGGCTGGGGATCCGCAGAGGGAACTCTCCCAAGTGATTCTGTTTGTGGAGCCTGGGCCCCTCGCGGGCCTCGCCGCCAAGGGCTCTCCCGGGGGGAGAGCGGCCTGGGGGGGGGCGCCGGCCTGGCTCCTCGCCGCAGGGCCCAGGACGGGCTCGTTCCCGGTGTCACCGCCGCGCAGAAAACGGACTGGTCCATGCTCCCAACTCTCTCTCTGGCCACTGGCCACAGGCTTCCTGGGAGCCTGCTTGGATTTGGGGAGCGGGGCGGAGCCCTGAAAGAGGGACCGAACAGAGCGGGATGGGGTGGGGGCAGTTTAGGGGCAGCCACATCCTGACAGCGGGCGAGTGCCCCTCGGGCAGAGGCCGTCTGGCGGCCTCGGTTCCTCATGCCAAGGGGGCCCCGGGATCTCTAGCACCCCTCAGTGGCAGTGCAAGGCGCCCGCATGCGTCCCCACTTAGGGCCCAGTCTCACCAGCCCCTCCTCTCTGCCCGTGACCTCACCTTCTGGCTCAAACCACATCCTCAAAGGGCTTTTCAGAGGCCCAGGGGAAGGAAAGGAGGCATTCTGAGGAGGCACTTGGGCAAAATCTGTCGAAGTAAGAAACGCACACACCCCGCACCACGCTTCGCTTCGGGAGCGTCTCCCGCAGACACGTGTGTGTGTGTGTGTGTGTGTGACCGCTGCGCGGCAGGCGTGGGGGCCGCTCATCACCACGCTGCTGTGACAAGCAGGGACCGGAGGCAGGGGTGCTGGCTGGGTCACAGGGAGGGGTTCAGTAAATCACGGCTCATCCACACCAGCAGCCGCGGTTTTGTCTCGGGACGCGACACGCCCCATGATCTGTCTCCGCGACGGGGCAGCACGTGAAAAGGCAACCGGCACAGCCCTCTGTGTGGAATGACACCACGGATGGTTTTCAAAGAGGGAAGAAGAATATACACCCATGTGGGCCCTGCTTGTCTGCACACGCCCCGAGTGTCTCTGGAAGGATCTGGAACCACCGTCACCAGGCGGGGGAGCAGCCAGCGGGGAAGGCTTCCATCGCACGCCCTTTCTAGTTTTCAACTTTTATACCATATGAACATGCTGCCTCGTCAGAGAATCAGGCTGGCTCCCGCGGCACGTAAGCGCCTCCTGCCTCCGGCCCGGGTCCCAGGCGCCCCGCCAGCTCTGCGCAGGTCGGCCTCCCAACTCAACTGCAAAGACCTCAGAGGCGAGGGCCTGGACCTCCCGGGCTCGCTGTGACCCACACAAGAAGAGCCACGACGGCCCCCCTCGCCCGCTCCGCCGCCGCTGCCCTGCGTGACAGGCTGTCCCGCGGACAACATTCTGCAGGGACCAGGCCCGGACGCTGCTGCGTGAGGGGCGTTTGTAGCTGGCGGAAGATGCCCTTGCCCATCCTTTGGGTACAGAATGTCAGTGCCTCAGGTGTAAATAACTGCAGGGCCCGGGACTGCGCAGCGGGCCCCCTAAGGGGGCCTCACAGCACAGCCCGCAGCGTCCGCTCCTCCCAGGGTGCATCTGGGCGGGCCGTCCCCACGTGGCACTGCCACCATGATGCCAACCTAGTACCGACCGAGGGAGAGAGAGAAGTCAGGCACCGGGGATGCGCTGCCCTGTGCTGCTCAGGCTGCTGCGAAGATCAAAGGGGCTTTTCCTCCGGGTCGGTGGGAAACAATGTTTCCGGTGGAACGAAATGATTCTCCATGGCCCTCAGACAAGCTCCTCTCACTGAAATCTTTCCAAGTTCGAAGACGCTTCCATTATGGGACCGGGCCTTTCTGCCTCCTCTCTGCGCCCTTCCCGGGGCCAGGGATTCTTGTGGGCCGGAGGGGGAGGAGACGAGGAAAATGCCGCAGGGACTAGGAGCCCGTGTGTTGTTTAGGGTACAGGGGGAGAGCCTTCCTAAACCAAAACACACCCCCTCTTTTCATGATACCGGAAATAGCTTCGGGGCGGGGGGCGCACCTTGCAATGACATCTTTTTTGCAGAATGCCTTGCTGTTTGCAAAGTGCTCTTACACACCCCTGCTCCGTGTGCCCCCCGAAGCCACCAGCGTGGGGGAGCGGGGCAGGTTCACCCCCACTTTCCAGGTGGGGAAACTGGTGACTGGAGCAGTTACGTCTCCCTGGTCCCTTAAGGGATAAACAGCAGAGGTCACGCCTGAAACCTGATTCCACAGGCTGAATTCTTTTGCCAGAATTAACCTGGGATATCCAAGAGGAAGCACACAGAGACTCCACATTGCACTTCGGGTGTGTGATGGGTGCAGGGAGGTGAGGGTGGTCTTGGGCGGGCGAGGGCGGGCCTCCCCCAGAGGCCCTTCTCTCCTGCGTCGGCCGGAAAGGTGAAGCCAGGAGCCGCTGACAGGACACCGGTACCCACACTCAGGCTATTTACCAACGTCTGTGCCCGTGTGTGGTGGGGGGAGGGGCTGCCTCATGAACAGGAAGTGGGCAGGTAAGAATGTCGCTGAACTTTAAAAAAAAGATATTGGCATCCCGATTCACAAATAAAGAGGGAAATGGAGCAACGCGGACAGAAGCCCCCCTTACTTTGAAGGAGACGAGCTCATCTCTGAGTCGTAGGTCCAGCCTTGCAGAAACACCGTGTGCTAAGCAGCAAGCCCAGGCGCTGGGGGTGGGGGCGGGGGGACAGCCTGTTGCCATGAATCAGGGTGTCCCACATTCTGGTCCGGCTGGGGAAAACGGGACAAAAACAGAACCCAAACTCCAATCCACAACATCACCCAATCAGCACTGAGAGTCTCGTGTGACCCCAGGCGGGGGGCCCCAGAGAGGAGTGGAGCAGGGCCCTGAGGCTGGGGGCCGGGGGGGGGGGGGGGGATGGGGAATGCTCCCAGAAACATGGGGAAGCCTCACCTTCAGGCCAAAGGGAACAGTCCCTCCAATCAGGGGACTTTCCCAGGGGCCCAGAAGGAAGGACAGGTTTCCCATTGTGTTCTCCTGAGGAGGCTTCCCTCCCTCTTCTGGCTTCTTAAGGACTTTGTTCAGGGTGCCGTCAAAGAGGGACAATGCCCTCGATTCTTTCCGGGCAGCGGCCAGGCCGAGTGAATGG